TTCGGTGCGACGAGTACGGGAGGTTTTGAGAGATATTCTTTAATACTCTCGAATGCCTTTTGACAAGTGACGTCCCATATGAATGACACGCCCTTCTTTGTGAGTTTGGAGAATGGCTGGCATTTTCCTAAGAGGTTCGAGATGAACCGACAGATATAAGCTAACCGCCCTTGCAATCCTCTGAGCTCCTTGAGGTTTCTCGGAGGTTGCAATTCATTAATTGCCTTTACCTTATCAGGATCGATGTGAATACCTTTGGTGGTGACGACGAATCCCAGGAATTTACCACTAGACATTCCGAGGAAAGACTTGGTAGGATTCATTTTCAATTGATGAGCTCGCATCAAGTCGAACATGGTCTTCAAGTCCTTAATGTGATCTTTTTTATCACGACTTTTCACGACCAAATCATCTACGTAGCATTCGACAGTCTTTCGGAGATGCTCCTAAAAGATCTTTGACATGGCTCGGCACCTGCGTTCTTTAAACCGAAGGGCATAACCGTGTAGCAAAAAACGCCAAGGGGTGTTCTAAACGCGGTATGCTTTTCGTCATCTGGATGCATCTTTATTTGATTATAACTAGAGAAACCATCCATGAAAGACATCCTTTCGAACCCGCACGTATTGTCGATGATGACATCTGTGATAGGAAGGGGAAAATCGTCTTTTGGGCATGCAGCGTTGAGGTCTCGAAAGTCGATGCAGATCCTGACCTTCCCGTTCTTCTTAAGAACTGGGACAATATTGGCAAGCCACTCTGGATGCTTCTCTTCCCTAACGAAGCCCGGGTCAATAAGCTTTTTAACTTCAGTCTCGATTGCTTCCATCATTTGCGGACGAAACCGTCTTTGTTGTTGTTTGACAGGTTTGACATCCGTCTTGATATCGAGACGATGCACTGCTACATTTGGATCGAGCCCTGGCATGTCTTCATAATTCTAGGCAAACACATCGATGTACTCCCTAATAAGGGAGATTAATTCCTCTTTCTCCTCGGGTTGGAGACTGTCGCTAATGAATATCGGCTTCGGATTTTCCTCACTTCCCATATTCACTTGGACCACTTGATCTTCGGTAGGAGGTTCTCTTTGTTCGAACCTATCACCATACTGCATGTTTAGGTGATGAACCCAAGGATCTTCCCATGTCCATCTTCTTCTGTTGTCGCAGGGTCAACCGTAGCCATATTCGACATTAGCTTTTTGAACATTTCACCAAGACTAGTGTCGGAATCCCAAGCTGAAGAATCAGATGAGTATCCGTTTCTAGCTTTGTTAGCAATTTGATCGATGATTTGCCAGCAGCACTCATCGTCGGATGAGGAGGCATAACCCAAACCTCTTTTGTAGCGATAATAATCATCGGGTTTTCCCTTTGGTACATAGGCCATCCGAGATGGAACTCGCGGACCTCGACCAAAGCAAAGACCCTCTCCGAGTGTGAAGTCATATCCGTACTTCTCCATTAGATCGCGGCTTTTGCGTCATACCTGAATAAGTGAGGAGCAGGTTTATCATCATCATCTTCCTCTTCTAAGAAGTGATCGAGTATTGGAGCTTCTTTTCCTTTGCCGTAGATGACTTCTTTTCCACCCCCTATTCCCGTGGGGATAACAAGTGTCGCTCCGCATGGATCTTGTACCTGTTTTTTCGTCATACAAAATGATTGAAGAGGCATATACAAATCAGGGTTATCATAAAGCTTTTTAGTGACATTATCAAGACACATCGAGTACTCTAAATCATCGTTTATTGATAGTTCTTCGGCAAGTTGCCAATTACAACTACTTTCCGATGATTTATCATCGTCAAGATTGATTACAATGGGTACAATGTCATTAAGTACAAAACCACCATCGTAATCAAGCCCGGTTTCGGTATCAGCTTCATCTCCGCTGTCCGTTCCTTGGGCCGGTGATTCAGTATCGGATTCAGCGCCGTATAGAAGAGAATCAGTGAAATAGTTCTCCAATCCCTTAAACGGTTGCTTATCCGCGACCACCGTCTTGACTTCATTAGTTCTCCAATCCCTTAAACGGTTGCTTATCCGCGACCACCGTCTTGACTTCATTATTTATGTCCACATACTTGAGGTACTGGTGCAAAGTTGATGGGACTATAAGGTTACCGTGGATCCAAGGTCGACCCAACAGTAAGTTATAGGACGTTTCTGCGTCAATCACATAGCAGGTAACTTCTGATTTTAAATCCCCGATCTGGTATTTGATTCGAATCTTCCCCAAGGGTCTGGACCCGCTTGTGTTGAATCCGTAAATCGTAGTTCCGGTGGAGGCTAGTTTGCTAGTCGGGATTCCGAGATGATGCATCAGTCGGAATGGCATGATGCTAACAGCAGAACCCGGATCAACTTGGATCCGGTTGACCATGCTGGAGCCAATGTGCCCGGTGAAATACAAAGGCCGATCATGCTTTGAGTTCTTCATCTGCATGTCTTCTTTGGTAAAAGAGATGCATGGAAAATGATGCGCTGTGAGATTGCAGTGTTGAGCTGACGGCTCTAGTCCTTCAGGAGATGGCTTGATTCGAGTTAAAAAAGCTTCAGAGTCGCTCAAGGCCTCTTGTAATGCTTTCCTTGTATCCTTGGAAAGACGCAACAGCTCGTATAGGGTTA